AAAAAAAAAAAAGAAAAACTAAAATGCCTACAATCACTAATGCCCAATTAAGCAGAGCCTTTGCTCTGAAGTGTACCTCTGTTCAGAACTAAGAAAGCCTTTTTTCTTTTTGGTGGTGGTGGCAGGGTGTGCTAGAGATTAACCCAGGACTTCACACATCTATGAAAGTTTTTAAACTTTCATAGTTGTGAATTGACAGCCAAGTTATTTAAGATTCCTATTAAAGAAGTAATTTTTGTTTGTTTCCAACTTTTAGCTTTTCCTTCATTGTAAAAATAGTGCAATTTCAGTATGGAAAATTTGTAAAGTACAGAAACATATAATGTAGTTGGAAAAAGTCACTTGTAACCTTTTCACCAGAGTTGACTGTTATTAATATTTTAGCACACTTGTTTTTAGATTTTTCTCTCCAAAATTTACATTTTTAAAAATATTTATTTTTTTTGAACAACTAATACAAAAATTATTTTTTAGGGCACAATGCCTTTATTTATTTATTCTATGTGGTGCTAAGGATCGAACCCAGGGCCTTGCACATGCTAGGCGAGCACTCTACTGCTGAGCTACAACCCCAGCCCCCAAATTTACATTTTTATACAACTGTGTATACTCCATTTGTCAGCAACACTTTTTAGCAACTATGATACATGCTATTATGTGGCTGTATCATTATGTACTTGCCATTCCTTTAACAAGGGGAATTTAGTTGTTTATAATCTTTTGCTACTATAAATGAAACTATAATGACTATTCTGATATATGCAATCTTGACATATATTTTTGTTTATGAGTTTAGGGTGGATTCTGTCCATAGAATTAATAGTTCAAAGGTCATGCTACATTTTGCGGATATCAATACATCTTCAAAATTATTTTTAAAAAAGAGTATCTCAGGAGCTGGGGTTGTAGCTCAGTGGTAGAACTCTTGCCTTGCATGCATGAGACATTGGGTTCACTCCTCAGCACCACATAAAAATAAATAAGTAAAATAAAGACATTGTGTCCATCTACAAATAAAAATATATTAAAAAAAAGAGTTTTTATTTTCATCATTGGTATATGGAAATACTCAGACACAGAATAGTTAACAATGACAATAATAGTAGCTGCAGTGCCTGTGTCCTTACCCATCATACTATGCCACTGAGAACACATTCTAGCACTATTCAACCTACCCATGGCTGTATATCACCACGTTGTAGACTCTGGATGATCAATGTGAAACACTTCACCAAGTCTTGATATGAAACCACACCTTCAAAACCAAGTCAGACTAACGTTATTTTCATATTTCTATAAATCAAAAATGTCATTAAACTTAAGAATACACAAATGAATTAGAAGAATATGTACTATATAGATGGGGAAAAGGAAAAATATTTACAGAAAAAAGACAATGCATTTTTTATTTTTTTTAAATTTTTTTTTTAAGAGAGAGAGACAGAGAGATATTAATATTTATTTTTTAGTTTTTGGCGGACACAACATCTTTGTTTGTATGTGGTGCTGAGGATCGAACTTGGGCCGGACACATGCCAGGCAAGTGCGCTATTGCTTGAGCCACATCCCCAGCCCCATAATGCATTTTTTAAAAAATACTTTTTTTTGTAGTTGGACAATACCTTTATTTTATTTATTTATTTTTATATGGTGATGAGGATCAAACCCAGGGCCTCACACATGCTAGGTAAGTGCTCTATTGCTAAGCCACAACCCCAGCCCCGACTTAATACATTTCTAAGGTAAAACATTGAACTGAGATTGCCAGAAAATAATATAGTAAGCAAAATATTAAGAAATACTTTTGATTTTTCTAATAATTATAAATATATTAGGTATATATTTGTGTTCATATAAATATAACATAATCCTGGGGATGTTGCATGCCAGTAATCCCAGCAACTGGGGAAGATGAGGCAGGAGAATCTTGAGTTCAAAGCCAGCCTCAGCAACTTAGCAAGGCCTTAAGTAACTTAGCAAGACCCTATCTCAAAATAAAATATAAAAAGGACTGGGATGTGGCTCAGTGGTTAAGTGCACCTGGGTTCGATTCCCCAGCACCATAAATAAATAAATAAATAAACAAACAAACAAATAAATAAATAAATGAAACGAAACATAAAGCAAAATCTAATACTTTAAAAAGCAGGAGCAGAGCTGAGACTGTAGCTCATAGTAGAGTGCTTGCCTAGGACCTGCAAGGCCCTGGGTTCTCGATCCTCAGCACTTCAGAATAACACTTGTCCCTCCAACCATGTCAGACCTCCTGGCTCTAATAAATTCCAACCAAAAAGCATATCAAGGTTAAAGAGAGAACTTACATAAAAAAAATAAATAAATAAAATAAATAAAGGTATTGTGTCCAACTAAAACTAAAAAATAAATATACAAAAAAAAGCAGGAGAAAAGAATAGACTTATAAAATTGCTTTATCTTAGTATAATTCTTGAGCAGAATATGCCAATCTATTATTAGAAATAAATTTGATAATATAAACATAGACTAATAGTACATACTGCATTATTTCCAAAAGATTTAAATAACAAAAAAGTTTTTAATCACAATGGATACCTACTGCTGCTCATTTTGCACCAAAGTTGTTCAGCAAAATCAAGATCACCCCGCACTGTGATAAGTACGGACCTATCAACTGCAGCAGTGTCATGATTCACTGTCTGAAAAAGATATAAATTTGAGACAATGTCAGTTTATTTATTTTTAAAGTGAAATAGCTTAAGTTTTTAAAGGCTGCTCTGAGACATTGCAGATTTATCAACACAAAGAATAATATGAATATATTTTCTACACCTTTTCATTCACTGATGAGACATACAATATATTTTGAAAAACTAGACTTGGTGTTGAAGTTATTTTAAAACTCTAATGCCTAGAAATGAGCATTCAGTTTTCTTTCCACATAATATTTATTAAATTACCTTAGTCTCCATTTTTCTTTTCATTAAAATGAGAACATATCTAGTTTTAATTACTAATACCACATTATATCATTATAACATCATTTTAAAGTGTATTAGTATACTATAGCAATATCATCATATAGTGTACTGACATTCATTTCTCTGTAATTGAGTAGCTTAATAATAATGAGATTGTACCAGATCCACTTGAGATGATACAACAAGAAAGGTAATAGCATAAGCAAATTTTCAAAGCATTTCCTGTGTACATTTCTAACTAATAATAATCACTTACCTCTGCATCTTTTTTTGTAGGATCACCAAATCCATCCAGCTTATTTAAGTCTAGAAAGTAGCAAAAGCTAATTAACTTAATTTTTGTTTGCAAGTTTTCCAAATTATTTTCATCCTACTCCTATTTTCAAGTAGCAAATGGGAACAGTAAAAGTATGAAATTTAACAAATTACCTAACTCTGCAGTGGCAGTAACAATAAATACCCATCAGGTAGGGGTGTGAGAATGAACTGAGGTAACATGAAAGCCCCTGACACACAATGCTGGACACATGGTAGGTACTCAAGGGTTACTATTTCATCCTTCTTTTCCTATGATCTCAAATATGTTTGTGTTATATAAATTTCAAACTAAATCTTATTAGTTTTGTTTTGTTTTTTTTTTTAGAATTACTTAGGTCTTTAACATTAGCACTTTGGAATAAAACTTGTCCCTCCAACCATGTCAGACCTCCTGGCTCTAAGAAATTCCAACCAAAAAGCATATCAAGGTTAAAGAGAGAATTTACATTTAAATATACCAAGTGTAAATTCCTATTTAAGAAAAACAAGAGTGAATTAGGAGTTTCATAGGGGCAATTTAGCAAGATGTCTCAAAAAATAAAAAATAAAAAGAGCCGAGGGTATAGCTCAGTGGTAGAGCACCCTGGATTCAATCCTCAATACCCCAGTCCCTGCAATAAGAATGAATTAGGAAAACAAACACCATTCAGAAATTCCTGCACAAGTTCAATAGCAGATTTTGCTTCCAGGGGCTCCAGCCATTCAGTCACACCAGTCTTCAAACCATCAGCCAAAACCTATGGGAGATTTTAAAAAGCCCAGAAGCTTGTTAGTAGAAAATATAGCTTAATAAATAAGGATGTATTTAGTACTATTAATTGCAGTGACATTTCTTGAGTGTTTAAACTCAATTGCACTGTGAAAGTATATGGTAGACTGCTTGCCCACCATGTGTGAGGCACTGGGTTCGATTCTCAGCACCACACGTAAACAAATAAATAAATAAAGGTTCATCAATAACTAATAAAATTTTTTTTTAAATGAGGTAGATATTACTATTACTCTCATTCCATTGAGGCGAGGCTAAGCTAATCCAGGTTAAATAACTTGCTCATAGTCACTCAATTATGTAATTCCAATTAGTAAAGAAAAGCCAACAGCACATGAAAATATGTTCAAAGTCATTAGAAATGCAAATCAAAATTATAAGATACTAGTTTGTTCCTACTAGAATGGCTATTATTTTTTAAATTTGACAATATCAAGTGTTGGCAAGGATACAAAGAAACTGGAACCTTCCTACAATGCTGGTAAGAATGTAAAATGCTGCAACCACTTTGGAAAAAAGTAACAGTGTGACAGTCCCTTCAGAGGTTCAAAACAGTTACCATAGACGTAACAACTCCATCTATGAAATATGTAAACATGTCTACACAAAAACTTGCATATGAATGTTCACAGCAGCATTATTCATGATAGGCAAAAAGTAGAAACAACTACAATGACCATCAGCTGATGATTGGATAAACAAGATGTGGTGTATCTATACAATGGAATGCTACTTAGCACTATAAAGGACCAAATAGAAAGTAGATAGTGATTGCCACAGGCTGATGGAGGTGGGAAGTGAATGCTAATGGGTATAGTGGGCACCAGATTTCATGAAGGGGTGATGAAAATGTTTTAAAATTAATTGTTGATGTGTACAACTTGGGTAAATATACTAAAAACCACTGAAATGCACAGTTAAAATGAGGGAATTTTATGGAATATAATTTATGTTTCAATAAAACTATTTTCAAAAATAAATGAAAAGAAATGAGCAGGACAGCAGCTGGATCATACCTGGCTTTGTATGCCAGGCTATATGGAATTTCTACTGTATTAAAATGAGACATGCTCCTAAGATTCAATTTGTAGAGTAGAGCTAAAATTACTAAAATATAAAATTCTTCAAACACACATTAATCTTTAGCATCAATCAAAATTCCAGTTATGAATAGCAGGCCATTTGGAATAAACTGGGGCAATTGACCCACCTGGAAAGGGGGGACCCTCATATAAATAAAAAGGAAACACTCCAGTAGAAAATGGAAAGTTTGTAGTTACTGATGCTCCCCTTTAAAACTGTAAGGACAATCACCATGTAAGTGATATTAGCAAACTTTTTTTATGAAAACATGCAATTTAATGAAAGTTAAGAATTTCAGAAGGATACTCACAAGGACAAATTTCAGTTCTCTGTGAAGATGATTCAAACAACCTCTGGGCTCTCCTGATTCCACTTTAATATTCTAAAAAGAACCCCAAATCTGTCAGTTTTAATGGGCAATAGCTGCATAAGAGAGTAACTTGCATTTCAAACCAACCACACATTTAAAAATATATTTTATAAAGCATCAATGAATTGAAAAATTAGATCAACACTTCATTTAAAACATTTTACCCAGACTCTGCCATCTTGATACAGTAACCTAAGCTCAGGGAATTGTATACCCTCTCTACATACCATAAACAACTGTACTTGCATGGAACAATTGCCCTTTTCACATGCACTGCTGTCCTGCTTCAAACACACACTTATTAATCTTTAGCATCAAGAGGACAAGGTAGAGAAATTTCAGTCAATGTATCTAAAGACTCAATGATAACTTAGCATTATCACACACCAAAAATAAAAATCCAATAGTTTTATAGACTCCTTCTAACTAAGCCAACAGAGCACTGTCCTAGTCAGAGGTTAAAGTTTTACAAATTTAAGACCTTATAATTTTTTTAAAAAGGCCAATATATGTAAATCCCTACTACAGGAAAAGCACAAAGAATGTAATTATCCAAAATCCTACCATGCTGTAGGAACCACTGTTAACACTATCCAGGTTTCTGTGCATGCCTTTTTTTAAACATAGTTGAGATCATACTGTATATATTATTTTGTATATTTCCTTTGTTCTTAAAAAGCATTTTCTATTAGGACATTTTGAAACATGACTTTTTAAAGCCTGGATAATATGTCACCATGGATATCTATTTTAACTACATCCCTATTGAACATTCAGGTTTTGTTTTTAATATTTTAGAAAGAACTGTGTCCAAGACTGAATATCTTCTACATGATTTTTTTGGTACCAGGGATTGAACTCAGGGGCATTCAACCACTAAGCCACATCCCCAGGCCTATTTTGTATTTTATTTAGCAACTCTCACTGAGTTGCTTAGCACCTTGCTTTTGTTGAGGCTGGCTTTGAACTCAAGATTCTCCTGTCTCAGCCTCCTGAGCTGCTGCACCACGGTACTCAGCAATATCTGCATTCTTAAGAACACAGGAAATCATAAATCATTTTAAGTCTCCACATAACAGACTTCATTAATCACTAGAAAATTCTGTTTTAATTTAATTTTAATTTTTTTAGTTGTTAATGGACTTTTATTTTATTCATTTATTTATATGTGATGCTGAGAATTGATCCCAGTGCCTCACACACAATTGAGGCAAAAACTTAGCACTAGAAAATTCTTAAATTTCTAATTGTGGAATTGTGAGCAACTGATGGCTCAGCTCACTTGGCAAAACCTCCCCTGGATGCCCTGGTGAGACTCCAGGAGCAAGGCAAGACATTCAGAGTTGTCCAGCCTTATACCCAGTGACTGCTAGAAATGAAAGCATGCAGCCCCAGCAATGAACAAGTAAACAACCATTTAGGGGTCTTATAAACCCAAGCAGAAAAAAGGGTCCATTCCTACCAGAACTGCAGTTGAAGAGAGTGGGGGAATTTGAAGAATCTCATCAACAGGACTCCAGGAAATATCCAAAGTGATTGTAGTTTGTGATGGGGTGACTATATCATCCAAAACAGTGGACTTAAAGAGCTCATACTGGGCAAAGCCTCTGGCTGTTACCTGAAAAGAGTGCATCCAGCAGACCCTTAGCATTATGTTTTCAAATGGCCCAAAAGCCCATTTTTTGAAAACTACTTTGATTCTTGTCCCAAAAGAAAAAAAGCACCTTACTCTGACTTTCATTCCAAATGGAAAAATAAGAGTTCTTTTTAAGTGACAAACATTAGCTTAAAGGCAAGAAGTCACATATAGTCAGCCCTCTGTATCCACGGGTTCTGCACCAACCATGGAGCAAAAACATATCATTTTAAAAATGACAAGACTTTTTCTTGTCATTATTCTCTGAAAATAAAATATAGCAACTGTTTACAAAGCATTTACATTGTATTTGCTATTAAAAGTAATCTAGAGATGATTTTATGCACAAAGGAGGATATGCATCAGTTATATGGAAATACTACACCATTTTATATAAGGGACTTGAGCAACTGAGAAAGGTCTTAGAACCTATCCCCATTGATACCAAAGGATGACTGTATCTTAGCTGCTGATAATATGAAAATAAACTTAATAAATTTCAGAAGTGAAAAAAATCTCTTTTGGGGAGAGGAGGTACTGGGGATCAGAAATGAAAAAAAAAAATTCGGGGCTGGGGATGTGGCTCAAGCAGTAGCGCACTCGCCTGGCATGCGTGCGGCCCGGGTTCAATCCTCAGCACCACATACAAATAAAGATGTTGCATCCGCCGAAAACTAAAAAATTTAAAAATTCTCTCTCTCTCTTAAAAAAAAAAAACTCTTTTGGGGAGAGGAGGTACTGGCCTTGCACATGGAAGGCAAGCATTCTACCACTGATCTACATTCACATCTTGAAAAAAAATGTTTAAAACTAGAAGGGCAGGTCAATAACATTTAAAAAAAAAAATGAGAGAGAAATACTTACAGTAGACAAGTGATGTCTTTTCTTGTGTGAATTTTTTAGGTTTTCCAGACTTACAGAATAATTTTTATCAGCTACAGGATACGAAAGAAAAAATTAAAGGTACCACTCAAAATTATATTGTTAGAGAGTTAGAAAATCATAATTTCTTAAATTGTGAGGATGCCATAATACTAATAATTGTTCATATTATATTTTAAATCACCGTGAGTGAAATGTTTATTTAAAAATAAAAGTGAAACAAAGGTCAATATCACCATCAAAAATGTAATTAAAGCTAGGTGTGGTGGTACAGGACTGGAATCCCAGCAACTCAGGAGGCTGAGACCCTAAGCAACTTAGTAAGACCATGTTTCAAAAATAAAATAAATTTAAAAAATCATTAAATGTTTACTATGAGTCTGGAATTATATTGTTATTATATTCAGTTATTTACACTCTAAGGAAAATTTGCAAAAACATACACATGCGAATCAAATGAAACCCAAACAAAACAGGCATAACCTCCTGTCCAGACTTTCTGGTTTTTCCAGAATCCTTCCTTCAAGTTATACAGTGGAATAACTTCATGTAATCAACTAAAGTCCCACTGTGTACACTTCCCCTTTAATATAAATATTCAGTAAAAACCACAAAACAAAAATTATACAAATACAAAGAATGAGCACTCACCTTTACAACTAACCACATACAAGACAATTCCTGTAATACTGTCATTTGTTGTGATGAGCTCAGCTCCTAGCCAACAGGTACTTTCAGGATCTGAACTGTCACATCTTATCCAAAGGGGAGGAAGGGCAGTAACTGGCTGATTAATCTTCAAATGGGTCATATTAGGATTGTGAGCCATGGTGTAAAGTCCAATTAATTGCCTTGAAAATAAGAGTAAGAAGAACAAATTTAGGTAAAGATCATAATTAAAAATTTTCTTTTTGGGCTGAGTGTGTAGCTCAGTGGTAGAACACATGCTTAACAAGGGAGAGGCCCTTGCATCTGACTCCCAGAACTACCACCAAAACCAAAGTGTGAGGCCTGGGTTTAATACCTAGAACTGCAAAAATAAATAAACACAGAACTTTAATTTTTTAAAAAATAAATGAAGGGCTGGGGATGTAGCTCAAGTGGTAGCGCGCTCGCCTGGCATGCGTGTGGCCCAGGTTCGATCCTCAGCACCACATACAAAGATGTTGTGTCTGCCAATAACTAAAAAATAAATATTAAATAAATAAATAAATAAATAAATGAAAAGTAAAGAATAAAAAGTAACACTATACCAAGAAGAGCCTCAAAAACATCAATTTGGAAATAAAGTAGCAAAATGCGTAAGTATATATGTATGTATATTTCACACAGAGATGTGAGAATAAAGCACACTAGTTGATCAAGAAACACAGACCATAAAGTTAAGAGTCTCACTATAAGGGAGCAGCTACTAAAAAGGAGATCAATATGGAGATGGGGTGAGAATGGAAGTTGGGTGTGAGAGTAATTTAAAGAAATAATAGGTAGGAGCCAATAAGCATATCATAAGATGCTCAAAGTTATGAATCACTGGGATACTTAAGGAAATTTAAATGTGGCCTCTGAATTAGATACTAATTATAATGTTAAATTTTCAGATTTTGATCATTGTTCTGTGGTTACATAAGAGAATATATTTGTGGGCTGGGGATATAGCTCAGTTGGTAGAGTGTGCTTACCTTGCATGTATGTACAGGTCCCTGGGTTCCATCCCCAGCACAGCCCCCCTCCCCCACAGAGTAACAAGATAAAAGCATACACATTAAAAAAAGAGAGAATATATTCATTTTTAGAAATCATACAGTGAAATATTTGGGGATAAAAGAATAAAGCTTCTGGGCTGGGGTTGTTGGCTTAGTGTTAGAGTGCTTGCCTTGCATGTGTGAGGAATTGGGTTTGATCCTCAGCACTGCATATAAATAAATAAATAAAGGTCCATCAACAAATTAAAAAAAAAAAAAGATAAAGCTTCTCCAATATACTATCTATACCTATTACATACATTTATACCTATGTCATTAAAAAAATTGCATATATTTATGTGTGTGTATGGTATGTGTATTTTATATGTAGCTATATAAGTGCATACTTACAACATAAATACGTACACACTATATATATTTCAATAGTTACATGCGTTGTATATGAAAATAACAATATATAATTAACAATATAGTTATACTGTATACACATATGTACTGTATGTACATCGCTTTATGTATAGATCTACATGGAGAGGGAGAGAGATTGACACAGCAGATTTAGCAAAATAATTAGTGAATCTGGGTTAAGGGTACACAGAAGTTCCTGCACTATCTTATAACTTTCTAAAACTTTGTAAATATATCAAAACTAAAGGTTACTCACAAAATGTGCTTAAATTTTTGTTTTTTTCAAAGAGATAAAACCTGAATTTACTATGAACAGATGTCCAGGAAATAAATTTCTAAACAATTTTATTTCAAAAAGGAAGTAAAATAATTCCAGAAGGATGGTTTAAAATGTAAGAAGAAACAGAAAGCAAAGAAATGATAGCATATGAATCAATCCAAAAAACACTGCCTGATGAAAACAATATCAACAATGTTCAAGTTGTCTGGGAGAAAAACAGCCTACATTAGGACTTAAACACAAGAAGCCATGAAAGAAAAGACTGAATAATTTAGCTACATAACAAACCTGCATGAAGGAAAGTCACTTTGCAAAGAGTGTTATGGTAACTATCACTCTCTAATGATATTATTTTTATGACTCTATCCGCCAGAACTCCTTGGAGGCAAGGAATTTTTTTTTGTTTTATAAGTACGGAAAGGTTGGGCAAAGGGAACTACATATGGCTACACAGCAGGAAGACAGAAAGTGAAGCTGGAGAGGCAGATAGAGGCATTAGAGTTTCCAAAAGGGGCACAGTGCCATCTTGGGTAGAGTAATTCCCAGTTGTGCAGGAAAACTCCACACATTGCAGGACATTTACCATCCATAGCCCAATCCCAGTAAATGCCAGTCATTTCTCTTGATGGTTATGACTAAAAATACCCCTGAATACTTCCAATGCCCATGGGGTATGGTACCATTCCATGTGGAGGATTTCCAGGACAAGTAAATGAAGCTCCTATATGTTACTCATGTGGAATCTGGATTTTATCATGAAGGGAAGGAAGAAGAACTGCAGGATTTTTAAGCAATATGATTAGGTTTTCATTTTATAAAGATCAGTATGGGACTGGGCTCAGTGATAGAGCACTTACTTAAGGCCCTGGGTTTGACTGATTCTCAGCACCAAAAACAAAAAAAAAATCACTGTGGCAGTAGTGAGGGGGAAAAAAAAATGTAGAAGAGGTGCCAGTTTAAACACAAGGAAAACAAGAAGCAACAACAAATTGGAAAAGAGTGGAGAAAGGGAAGATAACCGTGGTTTTCCTACATTATCTTAGGGGAAAATGGAAGGAAGAGAGAGATCTGGGTGCTAGATACCTATTTTTCCCCAATATTTACAAGAATGCTTCAAATTAAATCCTCCCCCCTTCCACCTCTGACCCTATGCTGAGGAAAAAACTTACCTTGCTTTCCCAACTGGTAAAGCAAGTGGTCCAACATTTTCACCAGTAGAGAAATCAGAAATAGCAGTTTCTTCAGTTTGTGGTTCTTCAACATGACTTGTTTCTTCCTTTTCTAATGGCTTTCAAAATGGTTTTAATTATTTAATCAGATAAAATAGCACTTTATAGTCAACGCCTTACTATGTAAGGGAATAACTACAGATAGAACCTAACGTACTCATTTCTATACCCATAAGCACAAACAATGGGGTTGTAGTCACAGACTAGTTTGGTACCAACAAATCACACCATTATAAGCATTTCCACTATCCCATAAAAAAGATATCAATTTAGTTACTCCTGGTAAAGGAAACATCTAATGCCATTAGAAAAGTGCTCCAATATGCAGAAAGTGATAAAATCAATATCAAGTTAAATCAAGCTAAAGAATAAATACCAAGGGAAATACCAAGAGAACCTCCCAGATTTTGTTGGATTTTTCATTTCCCAAACTGGGAGTTCTTCTTTCTGGGATATGATCTTAACTCCACAGTCTTGCTCCTTGTACCTATTCCTCTTAGGGCTATCAGCAGTTGTCATTGGTATTATAGGATTCCAGTATCTATGTATTTACAAAATAGTTAAATAGCTTAGCTTAAGTAGTAACAACAGTAATTTTAAGAGTTAACAATTCCTGAGTACTAAATACTGTTCTAAGTTATCTTTTATTCTTCACAAAAATTCTGAGCTAGATGTTATTATCATCTCTGGGAAAATCGAGGTAGCAAAAGGCTAAATAACTTGCCTAAAAGCCAATATTTGAACCTAAGTGTGCTCACATGGAAACCTTCATAAGAATGCTTATAATAGCTCTATTCATTATACTACCAAATGTCCTTCAAAGGGTGAATGGGTAAATAAACTGTGATACTCCATATCATGGAATACTATTCAGCAATAAGAGTAAATGAACTATTGATACAAACTGAATGAACCTTAAAGTATTATACTAAGTAAAAGAAGTCAGACTCGAAAGCTTTCACATTGTGATTCCATTCATGACATTCTTGAAAAGACAAAACTACAGTAATAGAAAAGAAACTAATGGCTGCCAATGGTTAGGGGATAGGAGAGGATATGATTACAAAGGACTAGCATGAGGGAGAGTTTTGGTGAGATGGAAGTGTTTTATATTCCAACTATAGTAGTGATTATAAGAATCGTTATGTATGTCAAAATTCATAGGACTGAACAAAAGAAGAAAAAAGTCAACTTTATTGTCTCAATGATAATTTCACTTCTTTCTTTTTCTTAATAAAACTACTAAAGCATTTAAAACTACATATATGGTTGACAGTTTATTTCTACTAGACAGCACTATGCTTATTCCTAAAAGAATTATATACACTCTCTCTATTGCTGATAGAAAAATGTGTGTGTGTGTGATTATTCCCAAGGAAGCAAATCTACTTATTAAGAATCATACAGGACTGGGGCTGGGGCTTAGCAGTAGAGCACTCACCTAGCACGTATGAGGCCTTGGGTTCAATCCTCAGCACCATATAAAATAAATAAAATAAGCATACAGTGTCCAACTACAACTAAAAAATAAATATTAAAAAGAATCATATAACCATAAAGCCCAAACACTGCTTACCACTTTTTCCACAATGAATACTATGTCATTTTCATTTAGAATATTTTTCAGAGGGTTTGGTTGACCTTTGTTGATCAATTGCACTTGGATATCAGCCTGTTAAAAACATACATACGTTAAGCAATGTTTTATATATATATATAAATACACACACACACACACACACACACTTTTGTACAAATATATAAACACACTAAGACTGGTTCTATGTAAGTGACCTGAAGAGATTTTAACAAGTCATATGTTTTAAAAGATGTTATTAATTTTTTTGTCCATGTTATTTCTCATGATGTTTAGAAAACTTAGCTCTTAAACCTAACACCTCTTCATGCTTCAAGGTCTACCTGAGGTGCAACTGCCTTGTAAAGTCATCTTTGCTTTGAACCACAATGACATCCTTTTCCCAAAATCACACTCTGTATTTACTGTTTTGTAGCATAAAATTACCAATTTATTAAATATTATCCTTTCTTTTGATTGTACTATAAAATTTTAAAACTTTACCACTATCAGTTTGCAGAAACTTTATATATTTTTTCATTCCAAATGCAATTCACAACTACTGTAAAAAATGCTTTTTTTAAATATAAGTTTTTTTAAAATCACCCATAATTCTACTACGCAGTATAATTACTACTGTTTTCAGTCTGGTTGGCTTATATTCTGTCAGATCTTTTACAAGGCATACAAAAAATTGTCACTTATGTAAAAAGAAATGTGAGGCTGGGAATATAGCTCAGTTTGTAGGATGCTTGCCTTGCATGCACAAGGCCCAGGGTTCAATCCCCAGCACCATTAAAAAAAAAAGAAAAGAAAATGTCTATTTAGATATCTGGACAGAATTTTGTTTAGTAAAGACAGGATATTCCAATAATTTTCATGAACCTTTTTCCATGTCATTATTCTTTTTCTTCCTAGTAGTATGGTTCTATTATTCTACCACATTAATTCTATGGGTAAATAAACTGTGATACACATATTAATTCACATATTAATTCTATTTTGTGCAACATTTTGGTAGTTTCCAGTTATTTGCTACAATATATAATGGAAAGTAAATATCTATCAAAAATGTTAAGATGAACACCTAAAATCACATTAATATTGTCAAATACATCATACCCAAATTATTTGTTTGTTTGTTTGTTTAGCAGTACTGGGGATTGAACCCAGGAGTGCTCTATCACTGAGCTACATGCCCAGATCTTTTGAGACAGGGAGGGACTCACTAAATTGCCTAGGCTGGCCTTGATCATGGAAGCATGGTCCTAGCAACACCTAGATTTCAACACTGTTTGAGAATAAATTTCATGTTTTAAGCAGTCTTATTTGTGGTACTTTGTAAGAGCATCCCTAAAAAACTATTCTTCTATTAATTTTTGTCTTGTGAATTTTACATATTTTATTTATACAGATGGATATAGATATTAACACTTATCCACAATTATTTCTCCTCAGCTTGTCTTTTAATATATACTATTTAATTCACTAATTATCTCCTATGGAATACTTGGCACATATCAGATGCTTAACAAATACATGAATATTTAAAGCAGCTTTACTCATAAGCCTCAAAAACTGGAAACAAGTCGGGCTTGGTGGCGCACTCCTGTAATCCCAGCAGCTTGGGAGGCTGAGGCAGGAGGATTGCAAGTTCAAAGCCAGCTTCAGCAACTTAATGAGGATCTAAGCAACTTAGTGAGACCATGTCTCAAAATAAAAAATAAAAAGGACTAAGGATGTGGCTCAGTGGTTAAGTGCTCCTAGCTCTATCCCTGGTGCCAAAAAAACTCCCCAAAAAACTGGAAATAACTCAAATATCCCTCAATCAGGATTGAATAACACAATTGTAGTACACCTATAAAAATGAATTATTGATACATAAACAATATAGATGAATCTCAAATGCATTATACTGATTGAAAAAAAAGCCAGAAGGCTAGATGATTTTATTTATATATATATATATTTAAAAAGGCAAAACTATAGTGACAAAAACCAAATTAGTAGTTGCTAAGAACTAAGGGCAGGGGAAAAGGTTACCCTCACAAGAACATGAGAAAAAAAAATTGTGTTTGGTACTAGGAATTAAACCCAGGGACTCACACATGCTATGTAAGCACTCTATATGCTAAGCTACATCTCCAGCCCTTTTTATTTATCTAAGTTGCCCAGGCTGGACTCAAACTTGCAATTCTCCTGCCTTGTCTTAAAGCTGTGTGCTACCACACTCAGCTAATATGAGAAAATTTTCAGAGATAAAGAAATGTTGGAGCTCGGGTGGTGGCTCAGAGGTAGAGTGCTTGCCTGGCACGTGTGAGGCCCTGGGTTCAATTCTCAGCACCACATACAAATAAATAAATTAAATAAAGGTCCATCAATGACTAAAAAATATTAAAAAAAAATGTTCTATATCTCGGATAGAAGTGATATGACTAAAGGTATTTGTCAAAACTCACAGAATTGTACGCCAAAACAATGAAATTTGCTGAATGTAAATTAATTTCAATAAATCTGACTTAAAACCCTACAATTTTTAGGGTAAAGTTGTGTTTAAAAACCAAATAAACATTTCATACCTCATAGATAAATGGGTCTTTACAGATTCCTTTCTTTTCTTCATTAAATTCTCTGAAATGAAGAACCACATGTGAAAAATAGAGCTATAGCTTAATTAAACTCAGAAGTTAGCTGCACTTTACCTCTGCATGATATCAGTGAGGGGAAAAATAAAAATACCTATGGCAGCCCTAGGGCATAGTTGGAAAGAAGAGAAAAAAGAAGTGCTTAGATAAAGAAGAAAAAAAAAAAAGAATTGTGATAGATTAATGAACTGCTACCCACAATTATACAAAAGTTTCTTCTTTTTTTAAATTTTGGTACTAGGCATTTAACCCAGGGGCCCTTTACCACTGAGCAACATCCCAGCCCTTTTATCTTTTTATTTTGAGACAGAGTCGCATTAAGTTGACAAGATTAGCCTTGAATGTGCAATCCTTCAGCCTCAGACGCCAAATTGCTAAGATTACATATGTGCACCACCACACCCAGCAGACATATTTGTTTCTTAGAGGCAGCAGAAATTTATGTCGTCGGCCTCTTCACTTATGCTTTTTCAAATACATAACCACATAAATTTTGGAAGATTAAAAGTGAGTAAATTCTGATCTGACACTGAATCAGTGGTTAACTTCTGAGAAGTTACTTAAAAGTCTCAGATCTTAGATTTCGGCTAAATAGAACCATCTCTTCTCCATTTTGTGAGCTTTTACTTAAAACAAACAAACAAAAAAAAACAGTAAATTTGACAGTTACTAAAAAAAAATTTAAATATTTCCTTTTTAAAATATAAGCAAAAACCTCTAGGATATCATTTAATAACTATCAATTCAATAAATTTTACATATGAACTCTAAATTAACATACTAAAATGCAATACCAAAATCACATCAGCCTGATCTACGCTCTGAAAAAGTCTTTGAAGGGCCCCAATAGCACTGTTTTAGGATACCATTTACATCTATTTGATCTAATATACGACCTACTGAAATAGAAACAGGAGAGCAGGCCTGTGACTAATTTGCTTTTGCCATACTGTGTTAGATTATGACTTATTCTTAAAGACATTTACCTTTTAAGTATGACTCAAAGATATTACTTAGTCAGTCATTCAACAATTGTCAACAAACATACATATTTTAAGCCAGGCACTCTTGCTAGATGCTAGGGATGTTAAATACAGTCTTAGCCAGGTAAGGTGGTAAATACCTATAATCCCAGAAACACAGGAGGCAGGAGGATGTCAAGTTCAAGGCCAGCCTCTGCAATTTAGTAAGACCTTGTATCAAAAATAAAATTAAAAGGATTGAGGATATAGCTTGGTGGTAGAGCACTATTGGGTTCAATCCCCAGCATGGGGTGGAGGCAGAGAAAATGCAGTCTTGACTGGAGTCCAAAGAGTAAATCAAGAGCTAGCTACAGGGTCATGAGTGCTCTGTCAGAGGCAAGTACTGTACAGGAAGCTATGGTGGAGATTTAGCTAGGGCTTGAACTTTATCTGAAAGCCCAGGGGAATTTACTGAAAGATTTAAATGAGAAATATAACTTGGAGTCCAGGAAAATAGCTCTGAATAACTTACAGCACTTCAGAGAAGTCATAGTGGCCTCAACAGGAGTGAAGCAAAGATAAAAGGACAGCCTAGATGAGGTGGGAGTAGGGGACAGTGAAAAAGAGAAGGAAGTTGTGGTATTGGATTTAGACCTCTTTTAATTCAGAGACTGAATTCAAGAGTGGAGCTAGGTTCAGTGGCATACCTCTGTAATGCCAGCAACTCAAGAGGCTGAGACAGGAGGATCAAAAGTTCTGGGCCAGTCTCAGTAATTTAGTGAGACCCTGTCTTAAAACAATAACTAAAAGGGCTGAGAATGCCGCTCAGTGTACAGTGCCCCTGGGTTCAATCTACAAAAATCAATCAATCAATCAGAAGAAAAACATCAGGTTAAGTGGAAAGATTAATTCAATCTTCAAGTATTGATTTTGAGACTCCACATAAAAATTTCCATTAGGCAGCTGGATATAGAGGAACAAGAGACAGAAACTTTTGGTGCTTACAAGTGAAGGAAAAAACTAATAACACTCATTAAATATTTCGGAAGTATAAAGGGCTTAAGTTTTATCATAGAACAACCACAGAATGAAGTACTGTATACTTCCAGACACTGAAGTAAGACCAGGGCAGAATGTGGGAGCAAGTAAACGATCAGATAGATACATACATTCTCACACTGAAAGATTTCCGAGACACTGTTAGTTTCTTTTAAAATGCTAGTGTTCGTCATAATGTAAAGCATTACTGCAGAGGGGAAAAGCAGTAAAGACCATGAAAAATTATAGCATTTAAAGAATAATGAATTTGTAAGAAAGGCAAATTCTGTGGCCCCCACTTCAGACCTAATAAGTGAGAAACCCTGGAGGTGGAACCTAGCAATCTGTGTTTTGAGAATCCTCCAGGTGATTCTGATACACACGCAAATTTCCGACCCACTGAATTAGACTTTAATGTATGGTGAAGAACTTAATAGAATCCCTTTGGTTGTAATACTTAACTATAAGAACAAAATGAAGTCGTGGAGCAGTGAAAATAAAAAGGTGTTTTTAAAATCAACACCTCATGCCGTTATCATTAGAAGTGTAGATCATACGGTAACCACTTTGAACAGACTATAACAATCCGTTTCACTTTTAGCAAGGCTTTGAACAGGTGAAGGATGGCGACATCCAGTTTTCATATTCTGGAAGATGCCTCTACTTAAATCACAAGCGTGCGCAAAAACAGAATAAATAAGTTGCCTCCTAAATATGTGTCACCTTCTGCCTATTTTGATAACGTGCAGATATTTTCTCCTAGGACCACAGGCAGGGCCCCCACACTGGAGCAGGAGGCCGGTCTCTTCCCCAGCAAAGCAGGCCAAGCGCTCATTCTCAAGGTGCAGCAAAAAGCTTGGGGCGGGATCTAGATACCTAGAGAGTATCTAGAAATGCTGTTCCTACATCCAGCTATCGGTATAAACTACGACTCACTGAAGAAGGCGAGCGTAAAACTCCTCAGCTCCTCGGCTCACTTGCGCCCACATTCTGCCCCGGTCTTACTCCCGACTCCGGAACCGCCAAACTGAACTGCGCGCCCGGACGCCGACGTCAGAGGCCGTAACCCCGCCCCGCCGGGACTACTTTTACTAGTTGGAAACCAATTCCTTTTGTCCATATAATTAAACTTTGTTTATAGAGCACTCAGTGAAATTTCTTGTTACAATAGTTTTCTATTCCCGTCAGAAATTTTTTTTTAAATAAATGTAGTGGTTGCAGAGAAAGACTCCTCCTCTCGCGAGATTGGTCACGCCCTCTTAAGGATTAGTCCGCTAAAAGGAGTCCCTCCTTTCTAAGCAAGTTTTCTAAGATTTGGAAACATAGATCCCATGCTTTGATACATATAAAACATAACACGCTGGGTTTTTTTATTTACTTAGTATAGTAGAGAGATATTTTGTGCCTGCGTTTGTTCTGTGGCGGGGCAGTGTGTGAACAAGCTGAAGGTTACATATAGAGTAAGGAGTTCTAAGTACTTCCTTTTCCTGTGGGAGCAGCTGGGGCGAGAGGAGCGTGGCCCTCTCCTCTCCCGGCAATGGTGAGTGGAAATCTTCTTACCTGGAGTTTCGCCTTCCCGAATTGAGAAGGGAGTGACGAGGGTTCAGAAAACAAAATATGCAGGGGAGGAATCAAGGACGAGAGTTCCAAAGGCGTCTGTTTTCGGGGAGAACTGGGTTGTTTGGCGACCCGGCAGCCATCTTAGGCAACGTGGGAGGCCGGGCACTAGGGCGCGCCTGGAAGCTCCTCGGTCGTTCTCAAACGAACTTCTGGATTCTAGCTGCTTTGGGATCCTAGAAAACTAGAGTTCTGTTGAGAATGGGAGCTCTGGGCGCCTGAGAAGGTGGGTGGTAAGGACAGGTTTGTGCCTTATGTCTAAATGTGCTCTCTAACTAGGTATATTTCCATCTTTTAAGGAACTTTGTTAAAGAGGGGAAAACTTGTATTAAACCTTTTTCCTGAATGCCCAGTATTGAGATGATGTCTGTAAAAAGCTTTGAGACTCCGTTAAGATTCGTTGCTGTATTTGACACCGTCTAATGTTTAAACTTTTAGCAAACTCACGGTATGACTAACGTTGGGTGTCCACTATGTTTTAAATACCATGCTTGTGTGCTATGTAACGTACTGGAGTTTGTGAACAAGACAGACAACACTCTATACATGGATTGCTGTTGACTTGGACTGAAAACATAGTAATATTCAATTGCAAGTGCCTTTGACATAGGAAATTGGAGAGGATGTAATTATCAACTTAAAACAGTGATTGGAGAAGGTGACCTTATAACTTAGTGGTCCAGCACTTGTGCGAGGCCCAGTGCTGAACCCCAAAACTGGAAAGAACAAAAGGTGGGTCAATATCTGGAAGAGAGGAGATTGTATAAGCCATCCTTAAGACGCTACTATTTCCAGTGAAAAGTTTTTAGGAAAGATGAAGGAAAAGTAACCTGACAAGTTTTTACTAGCAAGCTTTGGAAGAGGTAAGGGGGAGCAACAGAAATGAAAGGTTGGATGAGTGAGTTCAGATAGTTTAGGTGGTGAGATTAAACTGCATTTTCAACCCTTGAAAATTGTGGAGCTTGGGACAGGCCTGAGAACTTATTGAAGTTTAATAATTTGATATTGTTTGAGGCTTTATATGGTGTTTAAGCCTGAAGCAATATCTGCTTCACAAAACTGAGCTCTTACATAACTGATAGTTTGCTGTTGGCATATGAGAAGAGTTCACCTCTAATGTTGCTTGTCAATTTTTTTCCCCAAGGCGTGTGCTCGACCCCTGATATCTGTGTACTCTGAAAAGGGGGAGTCATCTGGCAAAAATGTTACTTTGCCTGCTGTGTTCAAGGCCCCAATTCGACCAGATATTGTGAACTTTGTTCATACCAACTTGCGTAAAAACAACAGACAGCCGTATGCTGTCAGTGAATTGGCAGGTATGGATTCATGTTTTCTCTGGGTTGGTATTTTAAGGTTGCTTTACAGTAGTGATGAAATTCCATTTCATTGGTCCGTGTTTCTGAACCACATGATTTTCTTGGATATTCTGATGCTGTTTGTTGCCATTCACAAGTCAAATAGATTGGTTATGTCTAGGTAGCTAAAATTGAATTTCTTCCCATTTAGGTCATCAAACCAGTGCTGAGTCTTGGGGTACTGGTAGAGCTGTGGCTCGAATCCCCAGAGTTCGAGGTGGTGGGACTCACCGTTCTGGCCAGGGTGCCTTTGGAAATGTATCCTTTTACTACCTACACTGGTCAGTTTTTGGAATCTAGCAGACTGTGCCCGGTTTATACACATTAGATGTATTTTGAACTCTTTATGTCTAAAATATTAAGTGTTCAAGTTATCTGTCGCTTGAGACACATGTGAAATTAAAATTATTCAAGAGAAAAGGCTTCACGCAGGGAGGTTTCTCTTGCAATGATGTCGTAATTTGCGTCTTACTCTGTTCTCAGCGACAGTTGCCTGCTGTCAGTAAGCTGTTACAGAAGGTTGACGAAAATTGTTACTGAGCAAGACATAACCATTTCCTAATGTGTAATTTTAGGAAGTGTTACTCTTTTTTTATATTTATTTTTTAGTTGTACTTGGACACAATATCTTTATTTATGTGGTGTTGAGGATCAAACCCAGGACCTCACACCTAGGCGAGTGCTCTACTGCTGAGCCACAACCCAGCCCCAAGAAGTTTTATTCTTAACTAAGGAAATAGATGTGTAGAGGAGGCCGCATGTTTGCACCAACCAAAACATGGCGTCGTTGGCACCGGAGAGTGAACACAACCCAAAAGCGATATGCCATCTGCTCTGCTTTGGCTGCCTCAGCCTTACCGGCCCTGGTCATGTCTAAAGGTTTGTAATATTTTGTTATAATTTACCTGTGTTCATCCTAGAGTGTCTAAATTTCCGTTTATTAAGAATAGGTTTTGATTACTTCTAAATAACAAGTTGGTGATCTAACAATAGCTGTGTAACTGGAAATTCTTCAAATAGTAATTATATAATTAGAAAGCTTTTCATATCACATCATCTCCCTCGTGCACATTTTTGCTTGTCAAAATGATGAGATTCCACTTCATTGGTCCGTGTTTCTGAAACAAATGATATTTGTGGAAATTCTGATTTGGCAAATTGTGTACTGTTTTGCTTTTGTAAGTTATATAAAATCTTTTTCAAAGAATTCAGGTAACCAGATAAGTATTGAATTGGTTTGTCAGGTCATCGAATTGAGGAAGTTCCTGAACTCCCTTTGGTGGTGGAAGATAAAGTTGAAGGTTACAAGAAGACCAAGGAGGCTGTTTTGCTTCTTAAGAAGCTTAAAGCCTGGAATGATATCAAAAAGGTAGGCTTAGCTGGGTGCCATGGCACCTGCTGGTAACCCCCAGCAGCTAGGGAGGGTGAGACAAGGAGAATCACAAGTTCAAAGGGCCAGCCTCAGGGATTTATCAAGGCCCTGTCTCTAAAAAAATACACTTAAAAAGGACTGGGGGTTTAATGTCAATCTTTTCTTCCTGCTCTTCCTCCCTACTCTATTCTTAGTTGCTCTCATTATATCAAAGAAGACATTTGGTAAAAAAAAAAAAAGGACTGGGGGTGTGGCTCAATTAAGTGCCCATGGGTTCAATCCCCAGACAAAAAAAAAAAGTAGGCTTAATGTGCATATTTACAGTTTGGTGGGGTTTGTTTGTAAGTTGTACATGGACACAATACCTTCATCTTATTCATTTATTTCTATGTAGTTCTGAGGATCGAACCCAGTTCCTCACCACATGCAAGGCATGTACTCTACTACTGAGCTCTAACCATAAGCCCCAGTTTGGTGGTTCTTGATGTATAGAAATTTGTCAGATCTTGAATTTCTTCTCTTTTTTTTTAAGCATTTTTTAAAAATATTTATTTCTTGGTTGTACACAGTACCTTTATTTTGTTTATTTTTATGTGGTGCTGAGGATCGAAACCAGGGCCTTGCACATGCTAGGCCAGCGCTCTACAGCTGAGCCACAACCCCAACCCCAGATTTTTGATTGTTCAAGAGGAAAACTGAAAGATAGGACAGTCAACCCTTAGTATCCATTGGGCATTGATTGCAGGACCATCCTTGTCTCCATAATAAGATCCATTGATGCCCAAGCCTCACAAAGTGAGGTACTATAGTATTTCGATATAACCTATACACCTCATCTTAAAAAATTATTTTTACCTAATGTAGATGCTACGTAAATAGTTCTGCATTATATTATCTAGGGAATAATTACTAGGAAAGACATATACACAGTATAGATGCAATACTTTGTCAGAATGGTGTCTGAGAAAACACATACTTAACTGTGAAGATCCAGGGCAGATCTATACCTTAATAATTACTTCATTTACCTTAATACTGAAATTGCTCATTTTGTAGGTCTATGCCTCTCAACGAATGAGAGCTGGCAAAGGCAAAATGAGAAACCGTCGTCGTATCCAGCGCAGGGGCCCCTGTATCATCTATAATGAAGACAATGGTATCATCAAGGCCTTCAGAAACATACCTGGTAATCCTTACAGTGTTTTTGTTTTGATTACTCACACTATGCATCCTTATTCAGCTTTGATTATGATGAGATTCCACTTTATGGTCCGTGTTTCTGAAATAAATGATTTTGTGGAAATTCTGATTCTTAGCTGAATGAATTGTACTATCCATGGTTGAAACTTTGTAAAATTGAGAAGGTAGCTCTCGGGTTCCTGGTGACGCCATAAAGATTGTTTATATTATGTTGAAAATGCCTTTCTAATTCTCCTTTCCCTTTAAAAGGAATTACTCTACTTAATGTAAGCAAACTGAACATTTTGAAACTTGCTCCTGGTGGGCATGTGGGGCGTTTCTGCATTTGGACTGAAAGTGCTTTTCGGAAGTTAGATGAACTATATGGCACTTGGCGTAAGGCTGCTTCCCTCAAGAGTAACTATAAGTGAGTGCTTTTTTATATTTAAATACTGAACATAGATTTAAACTGAAGATGGTGAACTTCAGCACCTTTATTTTTAACCATTTATCTCTATGCACATTAGCATTCAGAATTGGTTAGCATAATTTTCATGGGATTTTTTTTTTAATATTTTTTAGTTGGACACAATATATTTATTTTTATGTGGTACTGAGGATTGAACCCAGGGCCTCGCATATGCTAGGCACGCGCTCTACCGCTGAGCCACAACCCCAGCCCTTCATGGGATTTTTTTGGTTTTGTTTTGGTAGTGTTAGTGTTTGAACCCCAGAGCACTCATCACTAAGTTAAATCCCCACCCCTTTTTTTCATTGTGAGACGGGATCTTTCTAAGCTGCACAGGCTGGTTTCAAACTGCTGCAGCCTGGAATTAAAGGCATGTGTCACCACACCTAGCTGCATACTTTATATAAATAATGGGTTTTATTTGGCTGACATTTCCCTTTATGTGCAAACAGTATGCTCGAATGGTAAATACTACTTTGGCCAGTGCTTCTGAAGATAGTTTAGTAGAAATTTTTACTGCGTTCTGGAGAGAGAAATGGTTAAAAATAGAGATGTTGTTGGGCTGGGGTTGTAGCTCAGTGGTGGAACACTTGGCCTAGCATGTGTGAGGCCCTGGGTTTGAGTCTCTGCACCACATATAAATAAATATAAGTAAAGGTCCATTGAGGACTAAAAAACTATTTTTTTTAAATAAAAGAATTGCCATTTAAAAAAATAAAAATAAAAGTGTTGAAGTTTATCATCCTCAGTCGGTTACTTGAGAATTTAGGTATCCATTGTTAATCATTTTCCTTCAGCCTCCCTATGCACAAGATGATCAATACAGACTTGAGCAGAATCTTGAAGAGCCCAGAAATTCAAAGAGCTCTTAGGGCACCACGGTAAAGTTCTGATATTTATAGTATCATTCTTTCTGCCAAATTATTATTTCAAAAATATGAGTAATGTAAGTAAATTAATAAGTGTCTACCTTTTCACAGTAAGAAGATTCATCGCAGAGTCCTGAAGAAGAATCCATTGAAAAACCTGAGAATCATGTTGAAGCTAAACCCATATGCAAAGACTATGCGCCGGAATACCATTCTTCGCCAGGCCAAGAATGTAAGTGATCCATTTGTTTTTACTAATAATGTGAATGTGGAGTTTTTTTAAAAAAACTTAAACTTTTTACTTAATTTATTGCAGCACAAACTCCGGGTGGATAAAGCAGCAGCAGCTGCAGCCGCAGCTAAATCAGATAAGAAAGATCAGAAGGGGGCTGCAGGCAAGAAGCCTGTGGTGAAGAAGCAGGGAAAGAAGGCTGTTGGTGTTAAGCAGAAGAAGCCTGTGGGGAAGAAGGCTGCACCTTCCAAGAAACCAACAGCTGAAAAGAAACCAGCAGAGAAGAAACCTGCTGCAGAAGAGAAAAAGTCTGCTGCATAAACTCTAAAATCTGTTTTATTCCATAAGTTTAAATAATTTTGGACAGTTTATTTTGAATAAAGAGCTGATCAAAGATGCAGTGACAAACATGTTTTGTTGGGTCTGTTTAGTAAAACTTCACTGGTCTTAAGAAAAAAATTTTTTAGTTGTAGGTGGACACAGTATCTTATTTCAAAGACCTTGATGTGGCATTCCATTTTATAAATCACTAGAAAAACCTGAGGTCATGGTTGCCTGTAATCCCAGCAGCTCAGGAGGCTGAGGCAGAAGGAACACAAGTTCAAAGCCAGCCTCTGCAACTTAGACCATCTCAAAGTTAAAAAAGGGGAGGGCTGGGGGTGTGGCTTGGTGGGTAAGCACTCCTTAGTTCAGTCCCTTGTACCCCTCCAAGAAAACTATTTGCTTCCCAAAAAGGCTGGATGTGAGTTAAATTCCATAGAAATTTGACATTTTAAGCAACCACAAGAGGGCAAAGTTGTTCAATACAATGTTGGAAGTAACCAGTGAATTTGGTTACCTCTGGGAAAGTGCTTCTGTTAGCTTACAATGATGGAAGTCGGTTGGCACTTGTCACCCTTAATTTAAAAAGATTCTAGAGGGGGTGTTTTTGGAACCATGTGCACGTATTTAGTGCATAGATGGTTGGCAAAGGTTCACAGCCGGGATGATCTGGTTCCTGGGCCATCTGTTGGTTCTTGGTAGACAAAATGGGTGTTTCTCATTGCATTTTGTCCTCACAGCTTCATCTTCATGCTCTTTAGCTCCTTAAGTAGCAGTCTGTCCCCTTTAGAGTCCACTAGGAATTAATATGGTTCATGTACCACAGCTTGTACTAGAAACGGGTGGTTTTGACCCCTTCCTTGGTACGCAACTGGAATCGTGGAGTCAAACAGCTGCTTGGGCCAGGGGTTGTAGTCTCCTAGCCTGCACGAAGCCCTGGGCTCTACCCAAGACAGCAGAAGGGTGGGGGTGGGGGTTGAAGCACCGCGTTGGAAGTGTGCTGCAGTCAGTACTGTTCTCCTGAATTATTACAGCTTGACCACTTAGTGTGAGGAAATGCACTACCGGGGTTGAAAAACCTGTCCAAACTCAAGACTTATTTTCAGTTTTTTTTTTGTCCTGTGCTTTAGAAATCTTGATCATTATTCATGCGTCCAAATGTCTCCTAGAAAGCCAAACCCTTCACACCGCTCACCACCCATTGAGTAACCGGGCGACTGCACGCGCCGGAAGGAGACCGGCTGTGCGCTTCCGATTTGTCTTCAAGCCCCGCCCCCTACGTTTCCGGAAATTGGCGATGGCGTCATCAGCGAGCGCCAGGCTGACAGACTGTGGAACTTGGCGTCCTGACGAGCGGAGATGCTGAGCCGGCTTCAGGAGCTGCGCAAAGAGGAGGAGACGTTGCTGCGACTGAAGGCGGCCCTGCACGACCAGCTGAACCGCCTCAAGGTGACCCCACCGCCCCACCATTTAGCCTGCGTGACATCTCCCCGAGCTCAGCCCTTTGAGGAGCCTGCCTCTGCGGTCGATTGTCCTGGTCCTCATCCGTCTGTCGTGGCGCGGACCTAGCAGGTTACAAACTCATGTAGCTGAAACACCTGGCAAGCGTGCTTTCGAATATTAGGCCCCACATCTCTAAATCTTGACCCTGCTGGTCATACGCTGAGGATGTGTCCTCTTCTCCAAAGCTCACTTAGTCTTCCTACCCATCCATCTCTTCCTGAACCCTCTCCTGAGCCCGTTTACTAGTTTGTACTGATTCTTGAAATGGCTTTAATATTGCAAACCAAGAATAGATCTTTGAGATATCCCATGGTGTGAAAGATATCAAGCCCTGGGAGAGGGACTGGTCCCAAAGCTTAGAATTCCCAGTAGTTCTTGGAGCTGTTAATGACTCCATGAGTTTGAAGGTTGGTGATTCAGGCCTGTTTACGTCACTTTCCAGACCTGTGGATAATTCAGCCCTTGTGAGATGATCATTCTAATCCCTATTCAACTGTCTTATTTAGGTCTTGAAGTCCAAATGACATGAGGATTAAAAAGCCCTTTATAAACTGAAAAGCGTTTTACAATTTTGACTTAGCAAAACAATAAGGATTTTCCTCCTGGGTAATTATAATGACCCACAGTTATGTCTATACTGCAACAGTACCCCTACAAGTACCTAGTGATAGTATGGATGATGGTCCCCAAAACCCAAATTCCCTCATGGTTCAAGAAACACTTGGGTTTTCTTTTCCCCCTGTCTTTGCTTTCTCATTACTGAGTAGACAAGCTCAGGTCTGAAGACTCTTCTGTGGAGTCGGGTGTTGCCTGGTCTTTTGTGTGTGTGTGGCGGGGGGGTTGTACTGGAGATTGAACACTACCACTGAACTACACTCTCAGCCCTTTTCAGTTTTTATTTCGAGACAGGGTCTTAATAAATTGCACAGGCTGACTTCCACATCTGATTCAATGATACACTTGTGTTTTCTTTCATAACTGCTAGTTCTTGGTGAATGAAAACCATAATTAAGCCAGAACACCTGTACTGCCCATTGTGCAGTGTATGCCTGTAATCCCAGTGTTATTGGCAACCAGGCCAGGGAACCTGTCTGGATCCCAGCTAGCTGGATTCAGCTGCCTGCGCACATAAGAAAAAGGTAAACAGTGGCTAAGGCTTGACCAAATTGTATAAAGTTCATTTTTTCTTTTTCCATTGTTTGCCTATTTTTTAATGCAGGTGGGAGGCTAGATATGACCAGTCAGAATCCAGGTAGGTTCCTTGGCTCTGCTGCCAATAACACCAGTAACTTGGAAGACAGGAGGATCAAAAGCTCAAGGCTGAACAACTTTGATATCCTGTCTCAAAAAAGGGTGGTGGTGGTGGTGGTGGTGGTGGTGAGGAGGAGGAATGGAGGCTGGGGATGTAGCTCAGTGGTAGAGTGCTTGGCTAGAATGTGGGAAGCTCTGGGTTCAATCCCTAGTAAAATACACACAACACACATACACATACACACAAAACCCACCTGTACAGTCCAAAGGGAAGAAGGTGGAATTTATTCCTCTCTTTAAAAGGCAGGGAAAACAGCTGTTCATGATGCTGAGGCAGGATCACAAGTTAAAGGCCAGCTTGAGCAAATGGGTAAGAACCCGTCTCTGAATTTAAAGTGTTGATGATGTGGGTGAATAATAGAGTGCCTACCTTGCTCAGTGCTCTGGGATCAATCCCCAGTACTGCAAAAAAGCAAAAATAAAAGGCATGAAAAGCCTGGGGTTGATCAGTAGTAGATCACTTGCCTTGCATGCATGAGGCACTGGGTTCGATCCTCAGCACCACATAAAAATAAAGATATTGTGTCCATCTACAACTAAAAAAAATGGTAATGAAATATCCTCAACTCTTCTTTTCTAGGTTGAAGAATTGGCCCTCCAATCAATAATCAGTTCTAGAAAAGGGGATGAGATGCTGTCTTCTCAGCCTGGTATACCAGAACAGTCACATGATGTAAGTAAAATTAAATACAGGCACCCACACCTGTAATCGCAGCAGCTCGGTAGGCTGAGGCAGGAGAATGGCAAGTCCAAAGCCAGCCTCAGGAAAAGCAAGGTATTAAACAACTCAGTGAGACCCTGTCTCTAAATAAAATTCAAAATAGGACTGGGGATGTGGCTCAGTTGTCAAGTGCCCTGACTTCAATCCCTGCTACCTCCCCCACCTCACAAAAAAAAATTAAGTACAGGCAGAGAGAGTGCAGAGTTCACTATGCTCCCCTGCTGCTTGGGTGGCCAAAAATTATAAAGCATGTTGTCAAGCCCAAAGGACTTTAAGTGCTGCTGTTTTTTTTGTTTTTTTTTTTTTAGTGCTGGTGGTGGTTCTGGAGATCAAACTGAGGGCCTTGTACATGATAAGCAAGCACTCTACCACTAAGCTGTATCTCCAGCCTTGGATCAGTTTCTAGTTTAAGAAGCTGGCTATTCTACATTAGTTGGCTACACTTTTGACCAATTTAGGGAGCCTACTCCCTCCTGGTCACCTGTTCTCTCTAGTTACTCAGATGAACCCTGGGGAAGTATGTAGATCTCTGTAAGAATGTGTCAAAAACAAAATGTGGCTTCAACTACAAAGTGTAATACTGAAAAATGAATTTCAGTCCTCATCCTACCCTCCTCTTACCACATGCCTTCAAGAAGTCAATAAAATCATACTCTTTCTAAATACATCTAAATATATCAAATGTGAGCAATTCTGGATGTTGTAGTTATGTCATTTAGTCTGCACAATTCTTAAGTTAGAACTTTCTCCCAGAACCATATTTGTAAATGAGGTAACATTCTAGTAAATCTGGGACATTTTACTCTTACCCCATTTTGGTAACAGAAGTGAGGTAGAACTTAGAAGAACAGAATATAGCAAAGTGGCTTACCTCTTAGTCATAAATGCTAGGGGTGAATATACAGTTGAGATTTGATTTTGAAACATTTTAAGAATTTGCTGTTTTGCTGCCAATATCCTTTCTACTAATCTTTGATGTCCTTGGCTAACAGATGTTGATGCATGTAGATAATGAAGCATCGATCAATCAAACTACACTAGAATTGAGCACAAAGAGCCATGTGATGGAAGAAGAAGAAGAGGAAGAAGAAGAATCAGATTCCTAAAGGAGGATGAGACCCAGGATTTGTTCTAAAAATTATATTTCTAAGCCTCAGATACTTCTTCAGAGAAGTCCTATGGCCTACTTGAAAGGAAAGCAAGAATCTTAGGAGGAATGTGTCATTGTACAAGTGGCTTCATCAGTAATAACTCAAGTTCCAGAATGTTTTAGGAAAAGTAAAACATAGTAACAAAATCAAAGATATACTGTCTTAAAGTTGAGCAGTTTGGATGGTGAAGTATCTGTGACAAGATTAGATTTAGTAATTATGTTCAAAATAAAATTTCCTCTGAAATCCTACTGAGAAAGATACAAGCTAGGCTTTCCAGTCAACAAGTCTTTCAGAAAACCCAGTTAAGAGCTATTTGTGTGCGATTGAACCCTTGTGAACAGTTAGGTCACAGTCTAGGAGAGAAAGATAACAAGACGAAGGACGGGGCACTTGAGAGCACAAGCTGCTGCCATATTTCAGAGACATGGAAACACTGCCCACCTTAGACTGCTTTGTGTGGCTGTTACCACATCTAGCTTGAAACATCGCTGATAAAAGATGCTTCAGAATAAATTATAAATAACCATCATAGACCTTGCTGGTTTCTAGATACAGAGGGAGAAAGCAGCATTTCCTCCTCTGAGGGAAATGGCAAGATGGCGTAAAATAAGATCCATTTCTGGCCCTTAAAGAAGAAATGTGTCATTAAAGAAGATATCATTATGCTTGGGAGATTGCACTTTTATAATAAAAGAGATGATAACTGCAGAATAAGAGTTGTTGAACTTTGTATTTGAAATTGAGATTTAATTCTGCATATTGTCCCTTTTCTACTGAGTACTCACTTAATTCTATAATTTCTTCTCCAGCTAACAGCCAATGCAAACTAAGAATGTCTTCACACAGAACTTATGTAGCTGTTCAGAAAAAAAGAGGAATATATTTGTTGTTAATGTTTCATTGAGGTTATTTTAAGCTACTCTTATAGGAAAGAGCAGGAAGTTTAAGTGATATGTTCCTTAAAACACAGTGAAGACAGTTTTGGAACAAAATTTATCAAGGTATACATTTTTGGGGTCTGATTTAAAACATGAACAGGGTTTTTCAAGAGCCGGAAAAGTTCACTGTATTCTAGCTCTACTGCTGACTGGTAACTGGTTGCTTGTTTTCACACCTCTTCGCAACTCTAGTTTTACATCTGTAACGTGAGGATAATCACATCTGCTCTAGCAGTTTCACAGGTTGTTAAGATGCCAATGAGGTATCATCTAAAAACCCAACTATTACTGGTGTCTCAGTAAAAGGAAGTTTGAGACAAGAATCTGACTAAGAACTCAAAGCACTGATGCTGGGAACATCATTCTTGAAAACAAGATCATTCTTGGTAAAAAAAAAATTACTGGAAAAAAATCTTTTGACACTAAAAATGAAATACATTTAACTGTGGATAGAGAATTAAAGCACCCCTCAAAAGAAACCACTCATGAAAGCATTTACATCTGGGTTTTATTTTCTTGATCCTGAGGATGGAGCCCAGGGGGACTATCACTGAGCTACAACCCCAGCCCTTTTTTAAATTCTGAAACAAGGTTTTTCCACGTTGTCCAGACTGGCCTTGAACTTTTGGGTCTCCTGCTTCAGCCTCCAAAGTAGCTGGGGTTACAGGTATATGCCACTGCACCTAAATCCAGGTTTTAGATACCAGCTTAAGCTATTTTCTCACAAAGGATGTAGTTTGTTCATTTTAATGAGACATTCTCAATAGCCAAGCATCCTCTCCTTGTTGGCAAGACATAGGGAGTAGGTTTTAAAACTCAAGTGTTTATATGTTGAAAACATGTAAGTTAGACTGTTCTTAGAACAGCTGTTGGCCTCGTGAAAAAAAAAATTCGTAGGCAGCAGTGTACACAACACTGACCATTTTTTAAAATCCTGGCTATAACCCAAGCTCTGGTAGCTCCAGAGTGGAACTATCTACTTTGGGTATTACTTACCAAGTTCTCTTTTTAATCTAAAAATGAAATAGCCTTTTTATTTTTAAACATATACATTACATTTGGTTTTCTATAATCTGCCCTTTCAAAGAATACAAGATTTGATGTACTGATCAGGAAGCTTCATGCTTAATTAAGAAGAGGGCACCAATGACCATGGCTTTTTTCTGTGTTTTTAATTTTTTGGTACCAGGGATTAAACTCAGGGGTGCTTAACCACTGAGTTACATCCCAAGCCCTTTTTATTTTTTGAGACAGGGTCTCACTAAAGTTGTTTAGTGCCTCTCTTAGTTGCTGAAACTGGCCTCGAACTTGCAGACTCCTGAGCTGTTGGGATTACAGGTGTATGCCACCACACCTGGCTCATGGCTTTAATTACACTGCCCACCTTAGACTACTTTGTGTGGCTGTTACCACATCTAATTACTGTGATTTCACTGCCACCTCACAGACATGACAAAGCTGGCATCAGGCACATTTCTCCCTTCCAGGAAGGTGGAGTTAAGTGTAAGTGGTGCAAGAAGATAATCCATTGCTCATTGTAACAAAGCAGACTGACTGGCTCTGCCTGGCTAGAGGCTCCAAAGCCTGCAGGGCCTCGGGTGAGCAGGTAAACCCCCAGCTCAGCTCTTTGTTAAGGAAAACAAAGAATGGGGAATGTTCACTGAGAAATGGCTTGTGATTTTTCTTAGACTTGTTCCCAAACCCTACCTGCTGCTTTTTCCTATGTAGAGAGAAAAGGAAAAGAAGGGATCCGTCCATAAGTCTAAAGGCAAGTGGTTGAAAGTCACAGGTAAGGTGATGTAGCAGAAGAATTAGTACAAAGATTGAAATCACAGGAAGACCCATTAGTCCAATGTCCTGAATTTGTTGTTGGTGTGATAGTTCTGCCTTTCAGCCTCCTTCCTACTTTCCCCACCCCCCACAACAATGCTTGACTAAATCATTTGATTTCTTATACATTAGAGAAATCGCAAAGCCTACCACAAAAGTAGAAATACCTTTCATCCTTTAACTTGATAGTATATTTATTAGAATAAGAGACTAGATTTGTTAAACATCTGGATTAAAATGATTAAAAGGATTTTCATACTTTTTTTTAGGCACTATACACGTTGTTTACAATAGCATTGGTACTTAGATTGGGGGAAGATAGAAATCTGACATATTTTAATGCCTTGATTCATTTGTGACATTCAGAGTAACTCCACCATTTTAGAAACACTAATCTAAACTTAAAGATACATATACCATTTACTACCCCACACAATATATTTAAAAATAAATATAGAAATACAACCAGAAGTCTACAAATCAGACTGGTGAAGCCCCAGCTATCATGGCAGTGAATGGCTCTGGCTAGATTTTGATGGAAACTGCTGAATTCTACGTCAAAAGCAAAAGATGGTAATAAAATAACATGATGTACACTCTCTGGTACTCATTTTCACAGCAGCAAAGCATGCTTCACATGCACTGCCTGTGAAGGGACTTATGAGGCTCCCTCGCACTCACACTGAGAGAAGGTCCACTTGGCAGAAATGAAGGACCACCAAGTGTCAAGAATCCTGGAGATACAGGCGGCCAGCCAGTTGCGGAGCAGGAACAGCAGTGCAAATGTCAGTAAGAATGACTACCCACGGTCACCAAAGTGTCACTGTATTTCAGCTTGGCATGTGTTTTGATTAACATACTCACAGACAGCCCCAAGCACAAAGCCAATCCACTTAGGGAAATAATAGTAATAATAAAGACAGTAATATTAAAAATGACGACGAGTACAGTTTTGGCACATGCTGTGTTCTTCATCCTTTGTCATAAGTCAAATGCACGTCTGAACAGAGACAAGCATGGGAGAGGCCCAAAAGCAACATGGCACACCACTGGGCAGAGGACTCGCTCTTTGCTGCTTCCCAAAGGATTAGACGCCAGCTGCATGGGTTGGTGTGCTGGGCTGGTTAAGGCCTATGGTGGAGCAGAGCCAACCTGCAAAATCCACTTCCTCAGCATCAGATCTCTTGATAAAAGCATGAACCTGCAAGCAAGGAAACAGGGAGAGGTGTTTTAAAAACCACCAATGGAAGGAAAATCCAAGAGTCACATCTAGCACTTGTGCCACACTTGGAGGGAGCTCCTGGCCTGCCCTTGAGCAGCAGTAGGGCCAGCTGCAGGCCCAAAGACCTGCTCCACCTGCCTCTGCCAATTATACCAATCAAAAGGCCTGGGAAAGTCACTCACCTCCCTTGCTGCTCTTGCAGAATGTAACGGGATTAGTGACCTTCCCTTCAAGACCTCACAGACTTGTTGGGAAAGCCAAAGGCACTGGTGGAGGTGAGAGCATGTGACACTGCAAGCCACAAAAGCTATGAGGTCAAGGTGTTTCACTTGCCCTGCTGCCAAGCAAGAGGAGGCAGGTGCACAGGTTAACATAAGATAAGTCAGCAAGAGAAAAAGGCCCAGCCCCATGAAGGCCGCAGACTGGCCCCTTCTTTCCCTCGACTGCCTCAAGCCTTTCTTCCAATATCCCAGCTGTGAGGTGATTTCAGCCTTTTCTTTAAACTGATGGGAGGACAGAGGAGACTGGTGATTGAGTCCTGCAGCCTCAGGCTCTCAGCTGCACCACGGTGGTCAGGGCAGAAGCAGGGAATGGAAAGTAAATAAGTGCCAGAAAAATGACAGGAGACCAAATTAATAAACAAGTGCTGTAAGAATCTGAAATAAATGGACTTACCATGAGTTGCTTCAAATCTGCTCTCTCTGCGGGGTTTTTTATTAAGCTGAAAGGAAAAAAGTAATATGAAGCTTCTGCCTGGCGCTGATTCTGATTCAGATTGCTTCTGTTTGCATGCCTTTCCCCCTACGCACTATAGGCTCTGAGGAGGAGTGCCAGAGCCTTATTCATCTTCCTGTTCTTGGTACAATATCATGCCCACAATACGTTAATGACTTCTTGCTGAATTAAATGAAGGTCAAAAAGCAACATGCAAGGGAGGGGCTGGGGTTGTGGCTCAGTGGTAGAGCACTGGGTTTGATCCTCAGCACCACACAAAAATAACTAAATAAAGGTACTGTATCCATCTACAAAAAAAAAAAAAAAAAAAAAAAGCAACATGCCAATCCATGTAGAGCAAGTGCTGGAAGCAGTCACACCACTAAGCCCTGGCCCTCCACAAGAAAGGCTATGGCAATAGCCAGGGGGTACTCAAGAGGGGAAAGGGCAAAGCTGGAGGGCTCAGAAATGGGGTGGGAAGTCTGACAAATCCAGGTACCCTTTCAAAAAACAATGAGCAAACTCACCATTTATTCACAAAATCTTGAAATTCCAGACTGAATACTCCACTGGGCAGTTTTGGAGGCGGCTGCAGACACATGTCAAGACATGAGAAATGTTAGACCCTGCTCCAGCCATCTCTTCCCATCCCAGCCCTACCTCTGGGCAGTGCTGTGCTCCAGTCAAAAACAAAGCCTGCTGGGTCACCCTGTTGGACCAATGGTCTCACATAGCACAGTTAAAATTGGGACCACATTATACTTTACTATTCATTCATCTGGTGAAAGAAAAAAAAAAATCAGTGAACCTCTGTGGCCTCAGTCTTGTCTTAATGAAATGAGGAGGTTGTGCCTACTGATCTCTGGAACCCTTTGAACTCTTGACATGTGGCATGGAAACATCACCAGTAATTCTAACAACAGCAACTAGGGGGGTGTGCAAACCACCAGGCATGGATCAGGCCTGCAGGAGCAAGCTTTAAAAAGGAGGGGGGGAAAAAAATCCCTTCTCTGAACCCTGGGGAGGCAGAGAAAGGTTAATAAAACATTAACTAGCAGAGGGTTGGTCAATCTGGAAGAATGTTGCCTGTATACTCCAGAAATGAGGCCGCTTTTCAGGTCTCTGACACTGGCCACAGATCTTGGGTTCCTATGGCAATTGTTCAGGGCTGCACAGGTTTATGATGCTCCAGGCAGTCCAAGAAATCTAAATGCATTTATGTGACCTGTGCTGGGAACTTCCTTGGAATAAGCTGACCCCAGTGCCTAGGATGTCATTGCTCTGTGGCCTAAAATCAACAGGTGATTCAAAATTAAAAATGAAACAGCTCTAGCCTTAGTTACTTTAGTGACTGAGGGAGGTCATTTGAATCCAGGAATTCAGGACAAGCCTGGGCAATACAGACCCCCATCTCAAACTGAAAAAGATAAAAACACTGACACCGCCTACCAAAAAGTCCAGCCTAGCCCTCTCCCCTGAAGGTTCTGTCAGTCTGACCTAAGGCTAACTGCAGCCCAGCTCTTGGGAATAGTGACTCAGAGCAAGCACTGCCCTGCAGGCTGTCCCTGCTGCTGAGGGGGAATTGGGGAATAGAGGTACACAGGCCAGCTTCCATTCCTTCTCTGTGGGAGGGGGCCAGGCAGGATAGGAATGTGTGCCAGCAAAGGCTCCTGGGAGGTAGGGGGGTGGAGGCACGGGGGTTGGACAGGAGGTGGGTATTGGGAGTAGGTGGTAAAAAAGAAAGAGCACTAGGGCACTAACTGGGGAGACCTGAGCTACTTTTTTCCTTGGAGCCTCAGTTTCTTCACCTGTATGAAGAAGATAAAACCAATTTGGCCCATCTCAACAGTGCTTGGAAGAACTGAGTAGGAAAAAAGAAAGCAGCACCAGTGCAATTCCTCTCTTAATAGGACTCCCAGGAACCCAGAACCATGCAGAGCAGTGTCCCCAGCAGTAGGGGATGGATGGCTTTTTCCTGACTCCAGAAACACAACATGCTCTTCCTTAAAACTTTAAGCTGCAAGGATCAGAACCCAAACTTCTTTTCTTCATCCCACATTGCTTTAGTCTAAAGCTTTGTAGACTGCAAAAAGAGGTAAATACCCTAGTGCCCTGAACCAGTGAGAGTGATTTATTAGCCTCCAGGGCAAATCATGATTTTCCCTGTCGAGTTTGTAATAGACCAGGCAACATTTTTGAGACCTCTAAGGTCTGGTTTCAGAGAATGGTAAGAAAGAAAGTATTAAGAAGGCATTCTGCTGGTATACTGAGGAAGACAAGATAAGAATGAGGGGCTGGGGATGTGGCTCAAGCGGTAGCGCGCTCGCCTGGCATGCGTGCGGCCTGGGTTCAATCCTCAGCACCACATATAAACAAAGATATTGTGTCTGCCAAAAAACTAAAAAAATAAATATTAAAAATTCTCTCTCTTTAAAAAAAAAAAAAAAAAGATAAGAATGAGGTGATACTATATCTGACACCACAGCTACTTCCCAAACATGCCAGAACTTGCCCCTTCGACTACTAAGGCTGTTCCTGAAGCCAGGAATGCTGGCCCTACTGTCTCCCATAAAATCCTGTCCTGCCCACCAGCCAAGCCCCCACCTCCTGTGAGAACCTTGGGGCTCCTCACCAGCTTCCCAACACCCCAAACCCAAGTTTGATGAATGATTCTCCATATGTTCCTTCCTTGATCCTTTTGTCAATTAAACTTACTGGCATATATTTCACAAGTATATGAGCTCCTTGTGGTTAAAGATGGCCAAAAGCAATAAGAAAATATTATCTTTAATTTCACTTAGAGAAAACCAATCTATTTTATTCCTTCCCAGACTTTATAGGCACATATATACACATATAGTTCATTAACTGATAATAGTATACATACTATTTTGTTATTTGCTGCTTTCACACAATTTATGAATTTGGTCCATATCTATTTCCACACTCATTTTAATTTAAATTTTCCTAGTTTTTTTTTTGTACTGGGGACTGAACTCAGGTACCCACTGAGCCACATCCCCAGCCATTTTTGCATTTTATTTAGAGACAGGGTCTCCCTGAATTGCTTAGGGAGTCACTAAATTGCTGAGGCTGGCTTTGAACTTGGCATCCTCCTGCCTCAGCTTCCCAAGCCACTGGGATTACAGGCCTGCACCACTGTGCCCCATTTTTCCTAGCTTTTAAACAGCACTTAAAAGCAAAAACCCTACAATGCAATTATACATACATTTGCCTTGCTTCTCCCTCCCAATTAGTTTTCAAGACTATAGATTTTATTTTCCATCTTTGTATCCCTGGCCTACTATCGCTGTCACAGTGCTTGATATATAGTAAGTACACTAGAGAGGTTGGTGAATGAAGGCACAAGAGTATGTAAAGGAGCAAGCTGAAGCCTCCTGAATCTTGGAAAGGAAGGACTCAGAGCTACAGGAAGATGGGGGGAGGGGATGAAAGTGGGGGACTGGGAACACTCCTGTAGTTTCTAAACCAGCCAATGTTTTCAGCAGCAGGAGGCATAAACCAGAACACAAACATCCTGGAGGCCATACTGTGGGAACAACTTCCAGGTCTCCCAGGCAACTCAGCCATGGCTACTGGGGCAGGGGTAGGAGTGGGGGTTGGGGGGTGGGCAGTACTGGGGATTGAACCAAGGAGCACTCAACCACTGAGTTACTTCCTCACGCTTTATTTTTTATTTGGAGACAAGGTTTCACTAAGTTGCCCAGACTGCCTTGTCTCCCAAATAGCTGAGACACAGGTACGCACTACCACCCAGGACAATGGGTATTTTCTTAAGGGGAGTGAATAAATTCCAAGTCAAGGAAACCAGGCCATACTTACCTCATTGACTATGTAATCCAACAACTCAAAAATTGCCATGGGAGGTCGACTGTCCATTCCATATGCTACAATTTTACAAAAGGGAAAAAAGAAAACAGTTCTCAGAAACACACAGGTGATCACTTATCAATGGGGCAAGGGGCTGGGCATGGACCCAGAACAGGGTTATGACAATAAACAGATCACTCACAGATAAGGCCTCAACAGAAGGAACTAGCAAAGGCCACAGTATAGAGTACTGATTTAACATTCAAGCAGCCATCTTAAGTGTTAACCACCATCTTATGGGTTTTGCTTTCCTGTACTTCCTCTTACCCAAACTCCCCCGCCTCCATTAGTGACTTACTCCAGGGTACCATAACCCTAAGCCAAATCCAGAAGGCCAGGACCCCTTGACTCTGGAAAGCGCCATGGTGCCATCAACCTAAGCCAATCCCATGGTATTCCCCACCCGCCTAGCTCTGAGGCAAGCACTCCCAAGCCCATCCCCTAGCACCACAACTACAACTCCAAATCCCTACCCCATAAAAGCTGAACACCCAAACATCTCAGGGCCTCTCTCCACTCTACAGAGGGATGGCCTTTATTTGTCAGCTTTGACAAATAAACCTTTGTGTGGATCTCTGGTCTCTGTCCTTCATTTCTCGCCCGCACGGCTCTCGCTTTCTCACTTTCCTTTCAGAGTCACCTGGTCAGAGTATGAGTCTGGGCTCTGCTATATCCTACATTTGTGACTTTGGGCAAATCAGGTGACCTCTGAGATAAAGTATTGAGTTACCTTTTTTTGTTTTTTGGTTTTTGTTTTTAATCTTTTTTTTTTGGTTGTAGTTGGATACAATATCTTTATTTATTTATTTTTATGTGATGCCAAGGATCGAACCCAGGGCCTTGCACATGCTAGGCAAGTGCTCTACCACTGAGCCACAACCCCAGCTCTGAGTTACCTTTCTTTATCCAGTAATGGGAACTGAAATAAGCTACCTCCCCAGCCCTTTTTATTTTTTAGTTTGAGACAGGGTCTAAGTTGCCGAAGCTGACCGTGAACTTGCAATCTTCTATCTTAGCTACCAAGTTGCTGGGATTACAGGCATGTGCCACTGTGCCATATTAAGTACAAAGTTTTGTAAAGCAGACATAGGTAATAAATACATCTGCCCATTTCTCCTCCTTTATATTATGTGAAATAATATAATGACTAAACAACTAAAGGATTTCATTGTATGTGGTGTTGTTGATCACCTCTCCCCCACAATGCTGGGGACTGAACTCAGGCCTTTCCATATGCTAGCCAAGTGTTCTATCACTGAGCTATACTTGACTTAGCTTTAATTCTTCCTGAACCTGGGTTTCTTCTTTTCATATCCCAGAGGTACAGGCCAGCCTCAGGGGCCACATGTATTTTAAAATGTCAATATTGTGTTATGTGAATTTTATCTCAGTAAAAACAAATCTACCAAAACTGTCTCGACTAAAAAGAAAATTAATGTAGGGCTGGGGATTTGGCTCATGCGGTAGCGCGCTCGCCTGGCATGCGTGCGGCCCGGGTTCGATCCTCAGCACCACATACCAACAAAGATGCTGTGTCCGCCGAGAACTAAAAAATAAATATTAAAAAAAACTCTCTCCTTTCTCTCTCTGTCTCTCTCTCTCTCCCCTCTCTCACTCTCTCTTTAAAAAAAAAAAAAAGAAAAGAAAATTAATGTATATAAACTGCTAATAAGCACAGCACCTAGAACATAGAGGTACTCAACAAATGGTGGGAAACTGTTCATGGTTATGATAATTTTCTGCTCTTACCTGAAAACCCCTGCTGCTTCCCCCTGGCCCCAGCCTGGCATCGAGACAGAGAAGCAGTGCTGGCAGAATGTACAGAGAGTCTGCCCTCCAGAAACCCCTTACAACAAGGGACCCCACAGTTCAAACTGGAGACACAGCAGGCCACTCACAGCTAAGGGGCCTCCCGGGTGTCCTGGGCCTGGGGGGTGTCTCAGCTGCATCTCCCTCCACCTGGCACCCAAACATCAGCTCCAGCTCCTTGGCATCTGGAGGAGGGATAGGGTACCTCCCCACTGCCATTTCCACCAGAGAGAGCCCCATGCTCCAGATGTCCGACTGCACTGAGTAATGAGTCCCCTGGAGTCTTTCTGGCTGCAGAAGAGACAGAAACAATTATCATTAGCTGAACTAAGCACGACCCTTGGTTTGCTAATGTTTTATCTTTTGTCCCTTCCTCTGGGCAACTCACATGCTCACATCCTGTTTGAAGAGCCCCACAAACATCTTGAATCTCACCTCCCATTTGCCTCCAAATGTCATACTTAGCAAATCCTAGCTGGTTTCATGGTTCTGACTCCTCCTCACTGTATCCCTTGTAACACACACTAAGCTGACAGCATCCAACCCACTGGGCCCCAACTACCACTTCAGCGTGTGGTTCCAGCTTTGTTCATTCTGGCCACTGACTTGCATGTACAGGGCAGCCTCTCCCAAGCCCACCATGAGAAGCTCATCTTGTCTCCTGAGTCTAAAATAGGAAGCTTGTGAAACATGGGTATTAATGAAGTAATGCCGTGGGTACAAGAAACAAAGGATCTGAGGTCAGGTCTCAACCTTGGGACTTACAAGCTACGAGATGTGAACCTCAGTTTCTTCATCTATAAAATGGGACTGGTTGCTGATGGTAAAAACAGTAACAACAACATAACAAAATACCCATCCTTTTTACTAGTGTTATTGAGGTCAAATCAAATGAAAACATGTCAGATACTGCAAAATTGTATATAAACAGTTTGATATTGGGAAATATCAAAATATCAGTTTGATATTTGGTGGGAAGACTCAAGTAGAAAAAAGTATATAGTGCTACAAAAACCATTATTTTTACTAAGCATTATTTCAAGTAGTACACGATTTCAAAAATCCTACCAAAAATCTTTATTCTGACCATAATTCATTTATTTATACTGAATTAACTTCTCCCATAGGATTTTTCACTAACTCTAACGCTGAACTATTTTGGAACTGACCATGTAACCACAAAAACCCAACCAGTAAACCCTGGATCAATAAGACCCAGGGCTTATTAATTGATTTTGAACTTGAAAGCTGGCAATTGAAGGGCCTAGGGTGCCAGCTGTTTAGTTATGATCCACTTAGGGAAGAAGCGATGACAGAGACGACAGGCAAAGAGAACAGAAGAGAGCTCACCATGGGTCATTGGAGAACAGAGGGATGGGGACATGTGTCAAGCAGTGTTGAGTGGTGTTGACAGCAGGGGAGGGGCCAGCAAGTGGGAATGAGGATAAGTGCAGGAGTTGGCTTTCAATCCTGGCTTGGCAAGTTATATAGTTGTTCTCTTAACCCCTCTAATTTAGAGTTCCTCACTTCTGAAATGGGAACTATGCTCTATCCTTGATGGAACAACTGCATGGATCAAATGAGACCATTTAAGGATGTAAAAGTGCTTTGACAAAGAGCACATAAAATACTGTGCATGTTAAGGTCTCCTGGGCCTCTGAGCCCGTCTTCACAATCATTGGCTGCACTTACTTCTGCTTCTGTAAAGACCACCCACTCTGACCCAGCAGAATTGGGTCAGCACTCACCCAGACTCATGTTCCCACCTTTCCCTTCAGTCAGCTGACATTCCCCTACTCACCCAGCCTTCCCTCAACACCTGCACATGTCAGATCCCATGCCGATGCCAAGGACAAGAGAGTCACTTACAGCCTTCCCAAGGGGAAAGAAAATGATCCTGTGTTGATGTAGCCATGGGTGTGGGACAGCCACAGCACTCTGGTGGCACTGGGAGCCAGCAGAGTTGTGAGCAGGAAGAAATACCCCCAAGATGGAGTGTTGAAGGAGGGAAGATCCCCAAGATGGCTGAACTAGAGCAGAGACTCCAGCCAGGAGACCGGGTGGGCTACAGTGAGAGGCAGAGGTAGAAGTTGACATGTAGTGAGGAGGGAAAGAGGCGAGATGGAGGAAACAACTCTAAATAAACTCAGGAGTTGGGGATACTAGATGTTAAAAGAATGGGGAGCTAGAAAGGGAGGTTAAGTCAACTTCTGCCTTGGACACAGTAATGCTATTTACTGCTAATAGGAAAGGAAAGGTAAGACAGTTTGGAGTGCCGTCATGTCTGAACTTGTTGGGTGTGAGGGTCTGTAAACAATCAGGTAAAGACATCTAGCTAGAACTGTCTCTTTGGAATGGAAGCCAAGCTCTGAAGCTGGGATGGTACAATGTCTCCTAGTGAGTTAAAAGACTCCAATTATGCACCTAGGTCCATGAAAGGCCAAGTATCTTCCTGTTAGATTTCAACTCCTCAGGGAGGACCATTGTGCCTCATCCCTCATTTCTTGTCCCCCACCCATCATCACCCATCACAACGCTCTGGCTCCACAGGGAAGGTAACCATTTGGCTCCTATCTCTGACCAGCTGAGAAACTCAAGACTTGCTGTTCGTACCGACATGTAGGACCTTGTGCCCACGAAGGAGTTGGCCATGGAGTCAATGAGCTGCCCGCTGACCCCAAAGTCACAGAGCTTGATCTCCCCACGGGAGTTGACTAGGATGTTGGATGGCTTGACATCTGTAGGAAAGAAAAAATAGAAAAGTAAGGAACTGACATAAGGAGCCTGGGTAGGGGAGAAGAGTCAATGTTCCCTAAAAAGGCCAGTGTTGACAGTGAGTCCAGGACAACACCCCAGTCTCCCATCAGAAGCAGCCCTTGGCTTGCAAATACTGGACACCAGAGTTCCTTATTCCCCCCTTTTTCAGGGTCCAAGGAAGGACTGTCAGGGAATGAAATGATTAGCTGCTGAAAAAGTAGGACAAAAAGCCAGTAGATTTCTTTCTACCCTTTAAGGATTGAGGCTTGGCCAAACGACCCATGGAAAGGAGTCAGTCCTCATGAATAGTCAAGATTTGAAAGTCTGTTGCTTCAATGTTAATGGTTTGGATGTGAGGTGCCCCACAAAAGCTCATGTGTGAGACAATGCAAGAAGGTTTGGAGGAGAAATCATTGGGGGTGTAGCCTTAACCTAATCAGCGAATTAATCCCTGATGGATTAACTGAGTGGTAACTGGAGGCAGGTGGGGTGTGGCTGGAGGAAGTGGTTTATTAGGGGCATGGCTATGGGGTATACATTTTATTATCTGGAAAATGGAGTCTCTCTCTTTGCTTCCTAATCACCATGTGAGCTGCTTCCCTCTGCCACACACTTTCACCGTGATGTTCAGCCTCACCTCAAGCCCCGAGGAATGGAGCTGGCCATCTTTTGGACTAAGACCTCTGAAACTGTAAGCCCTTAAATAAACTTTTCTTCCTTTAAAATTGTTCTGGTCAGGTCTTTTAGTCCCAGTACTGAAAAAAGCTAACTAAAACATTCAACCATCCTTGTTGGCAGGACACAGATCTATGGGTGGAAGGTATGAGAAGCAGAAAACATAAATAACAAGAACTATATGCTCGCTGAGGCTGCAGATGAAAGACTTAACAAGGGCAGGAATTTCTATTCTTGACCTCTGTACCAAGCACAAAGCATGGAGTGGGTGCTGACTTGTGATTTTCTTTAACTGAAGTCACTTACCTAAAAGTCAACTCACCTACACCTGCTCTGTTAGTCAAGGTGAGCCCCTAGCTACTCAAGGCCAGAGAACTCAGAGGCCTGAAAGATGCTCCTCAGAGTCAAGGCAATATGCCAGCATAAAGTCTACTCACGTCCCTAGGTTCACAATACCATCCCACATTCCACACCTTCTGCTGCCACCAATAACAGGCCACTGGCTCTTTGTCTGCAGAGAGCAATAACCTTTCACATGTCTTTTCTCCCACCATCTCCTTTGATCAGACAACTGTGAAATGGATAGACCAGGGTCATTGTCTTGATTTACAGGTGGGAAAACCCAGGCTGGGACTTGGAGTCCCCAGGCCAGGGTTTTGTGAGCAGACATCAACAAACAGTGAGAGAGTCACTCAAGGGCAGGCAATGTCAGGAGAAAAATCCTAAACCATGACAGGGAATCTTTTTGTGTGTGTGATGCTATGGATTGAATTCAGGGCCACCTATATGCCAGGCATATGGGTGCCCTACCACTCAGCTACAACCCCATCATGACAGGGAATCTTTACTGAAAGTAATATGGACACTATAATAGAACATCTGGAAAAATCAGAGGAAAAAAACAAGCCAAAAATAATTCTAACCTGCCAGAGCAATTATTAACATTCCATTATTTTCCCTTCAATATTCTTCCACATGAATCAACAGATTCTAACAGGTCTATTTGAGTATCCTTCTAAGAGCAAATTGAAAAAAAAAAATTTACCTTTAATCTCCCAGCAAACTCCTCTCCCACACAACTCATCTCCTGCCTCTCTCCATCACCAACAGCTCCAGCAGGGCACTGGCTGGCTGCCCTTCTCACCACTCTAAGATGTGAGCCAGACAATGCTGGGCACATGGTAGATGCTCCAGAAACTCTTGTCCAATGCACAGATCCAAACTCACCATGTGCACACGCAAGCTAGCATATACACAGGTATACCCACACAGCCATGGCGTGCTCTTTCTAAATCCCAGCCCTCATCATGTCTCCACACACAGCATTCAGATCCAGGTCAGGCTTTCACAAGGAGCACAGGAGACAAGACCTTCCCAAACCTCTGGGCAACCCCAACGTACCACAGGTGTCAAGGTACAGACACCAGGAGGGGCCTTAAAGGGCATCCAGTTCTGCCTTTCATGGTAGAGACAAAAGGTCTAAGCCCAAAGGGTCCAGGGGCTTATGGAAGGTCACAGAGCAAAAACTGAGTAAAGCTAGAAGTAGAATCCAGACCTTCTGACATCTGAACCTATCTGCCTCCCACCAGCCTTGCTGCCATATTCTTTAGCTCTCTCTGTCACTAATAGTTACAGAGAACCAACCATATGCAGGCACTCTGCAAGCTTCCAGGCACACAGAGGTGAACAAACTGATCAAGTCCCCACTGTTACGAAGCTTAAAATTTAGTGTGAGGAGACAATGAATAAATCAATGAACAAATGTGTAATTTCAGGGAGTTTCATGGGCCATGAAGAAAATAAAAATGCATGAAACCAGAGAGTGAAGGGTGCAGCTGTGATGGCTGGTGAAGGTAGACCTCTGTAGAACACTTGGTAACGACTGGGACAGAGAGGGAGGGAGCATGTGGCCTTCTGGAGAATTATACGAAAAAGTTTTGGGAAATGAGGAACTAACTGTTCCTTCCCCCAGCCTAGTGTAGGACAGGTCCCAACAAACACTTTCAGCCAAGGAGCAAGCCCAGCAGCTTTACTGACAGTAATAAGGATCCTATAATAGAACATATGGAAAAATCCCTCAGTGCCACTTTCAGAGGACAAATTCCTAGAAACCACTTGCTCGGGATATGGAATAGGACACTACAAAATAGGACCAAACTGGGAAGAAGGAGGTGTGTGACATGCCTGCTGGGACATAGGGATAGATAGGCAGTCCAACATGAGTCCCACACGAGTCCCCTCTTTCATACGCCCCACCACATGCCACAGCCTTTCTTCTGGGTGCTGAGCACACCAGCCACACTCCCTCACCCATCCCCAAAGCTCCCATGGCCTGTGTGGTGTGGTCTGTGAGACCTTGTTTGGGAGCTAGAAAGGAGCACTGGGTAAAGGGACAGGAGGCCTGTATTCAAATCTTGGTCCTGTCACCTGCTCTACGTGGAGCCTTGAGCTAGATTTCACTTCTCTGGGTTGTAATGTGCCATCAGTAAAGTGGTGACAACTGCAGCTCTTGAAACATCACAAAATGAAGACCAGGATCAAAGTGATCAAGAACAGCATATAAACAGCACAGTGAACCAGAGGAATACAGACTGATGATTTCAGAGGTTGCCTTCCCAGGCCGGCAGTTCACGGAACCAGGTGTCCCTTCTCCTCCTCCTGGCCCCAGCCCTCCTCTGCTGGCGCAGCCCTTCTCTGGTGCAACTGTGCTCACTAGAGGCTGCACTGCCTCTAGCTGTCCTTGCATCTGATTTCTACTCACATGGCAAGCAAGCCTCCTGTTCAAACTTACATAACACTGCTCCCCCACCACCACCCAGACTGTCATCTCCAGCTCGCTGCATCCACCCCAGCAACAACACTGCCTGGGAGGCTGCAGAGATCTATGGCAGTGGAGGGAAGGAAAGGGATCCCCTGGAGGATTTTCCCTGCTGGAACACAGGATCTAGGAGCCAGATGCACTGCACAAGGCCCCTCCTGGTGACCTGGACACACCAACTCACTCAACTCCAGTATGCTGCTGGAGCAGCCAAGCCAGAACATGCTCTCCTTCCCCACCCCACCCTCAGGAAGCCCCAGCCAAGCCGCACTCCTCTGGAAGCAGAAAAGAAGTATATGATGTCAGATAAGGTCCAGAGTTCACTTCCTGATCTCTATCAGCACCTGGAACAGCTTCACACTGGAGCCAGCCCCTCCCCACCATTCCCTTCCAACTTGTCTGTGGCCACCAGAACTCCAACGACAGAGCCCCTGCTGCTATGGCTCACCCTCTGCCTCAGAGCACAGTCCAAGACCCTTTTCCTGGCTTTCTCAGCCTTCCACCAATTCTTCACCCTCAAGGTGACTCCTCAGCTACCTACTCCCAGTCCAGGCTGGCCTGCCTCTCAGATTGCCACTGTACAAGGGTGTGTCACCTCCTCACCTTCTTTCTGCTGGTCCCTACATCTGAAAATCCTCCTTTCCACCCCCTCTGTTACCTCCATTGCTTGCTTCTTTTGAGTCCTCTTCCCAACATGAGATACTGCCTCGTTCCTGGAGTCCAGGGGGATTTATCTGGGCTTCCTCCCACACTGTCCTAACAGATCTCTCAAGGTGGTTCAAATGATAGGCCCAGTCCCTCAGGCCTCTTCCAGACCTCAGTGTGTGTGTGTGTGTGTGTGTGTGTGTCTCTCTCTCTCTCTCTCTCTCTCTCTCTCTCTCTTTTTCTTCCACTAGGGATTGAATCCAGGGGTGTTACATGCCCAGCCCTATTAATTTTTGAGACAGAATCTCACTCAGTTGCTGAGGCTGGCCTCAGATTTGATCCTTCTGCTTCAGCCTCCTGAGCCACTGGGATTACAGGCTTGTGCTACCATGCCTGACTCTCAGCTTCTCTTTCTGATCCTTCAATATGAAGAAGTGATGTAAGAAGCCTCAGCAAAAAGCAGGCCAAACTACATTCTGGAAGAAGCATCCACCACCCACTAGACTCCCAGGTTGGTGGGTTTTCCCAGGAATCCCACAAGATGCTGAGTTGGGATACCCAATGCTGCTCCTTCTCTGCAATAATGGGCAAACCCTCCTTCCCCAAAAATGAGCAGATGAGGGTTGGCAGAGCGCTTCCCCAGCTTCTGTAAGGCACTGGTTCACTCCCCCACACCACAAAACAAAGTACACATATAAGAACAAGGAGATTGTATGAAAAAATAAAGAGAATAAAGTATTTTCTTCTGAAATCTTCTACCCCAGATATGACCACTGTTCAAAGCCCCCTGAATTTTCCCTTAAGAGCATATATTCAGAGCTTTTTTTTTTTTTGCCACTCTAA